CATCTCCCCCACTGGCCTGCTGTTAACTGTACTTTCACAAGCACACTAAACAAGCACAGGACCTGTGTGGTTACCTTTATTTAACAACACCGGATGCAGTAAAGTATGGACCTAACTTTAATACAAGACAGCAGCCTTGTGGAAAGAAAAGAAGAGATTCTCTCTCTCTCTCTCTCTCCCTCCCTTCCTTCCTTCCACCTCAATACTGCCCCATAGTGCAAGCACTGTCTGGGCACTTTACAACATGTTAAAAAGCACATATAAACAAACAAATCCCATGCACTAAATGCGACAAGATAGATAAAAACCCTGTTTCTAGCTGAAACATATTCTGAATAGAATCAAGCCCATTACAGCAGATTTGAACATCTCGGGTAGTAAAGTGTTAATCAATCGTGGTGGCTTTAAATAATACTGCTTTTATTGTACTTAATTTCTTAAAAACTGAGAGGGAAGGAGCTCTGTTGGAAGCTGGTTCCAAAGGGAAGGGGCCATGACCAAAAACGCAGCTCCTATTCTTAACTCTTTTGGCCTCCTTAGGTGTCACCATTTGAGTTTGCTCTGCTCCTCATCCCTGTGTCGAGGTCACCTCTGGCTGGCCCAGAGAACTTGGACCTCAGCAGCAGCAGCAGCACCACCACCACCACCAGCAGCTGGACAGCTTGGAGCTCTGAGCTCCCACTCCGTTCTGGTTTGTACCCAAAGAGGGGAGCCCCACTGCACCCACCGTACAGCGCTAACAACACCTGTGACCAGCCATTAATTGCTTCCCCTTTTACTGAAGCGTGGTGAATACAGTGGTGCCTCGCAAGACGATTTTAATTCGTTCCGTGAAAATTGTTGTTTTGTGAAAAAATCATTTTGCCAGGTTCCTTATGCATCAGTCCCCCCCCGTGAAGCATAGGTCTAAAAAAAAGTCTTGCAAAGCATCAGTCTTAAAAAAAAAGTCTTGCGAAGCACGGTCATAGAAAAAAAAAGTCTTGTGAAGCATCATAGTAATCACAAAAACCAATCGTCTTGCGGGTTTTTCGTCCCACGAGGCAATCGTCTAGTGAGGCACCACTGTATAATTTTTTTTATCCTCCATCTCACTTCTTGCTGTCTTTTGTACTTACCATCCCTACACAGCAGCCACGATGGTGACAGCAGCCACGAAATTAAAAGATGCCTGATGCTTGGGAGGAAAGCAATGACAAACCTAGACAGCATCTTAAAACGCAGAGACATCACCTTGCCGACAAAGGTCCACATACTCAAAGCTGAGGCTCCAATAATTTGGCCATCTCATGAGAAAAGAAGACTCCCTGGAAAAGACCCTGACGTTGGGAAAGTGTGAGGGCAAGAGGAGAGAAGGGGGCGACAGAGGACGAGATGGTGGGATAGGATCATTGAAGCGACCAACATGAATTTGACCCAACTCCGGGAGGCAGTGGAAGACAGGAGGGCCAGGCGTCCATGGGGTCACGAAAAGTCAGACACAACTTAATGACTAAACAGCAACAACACACAGCCCAGCCAACCATTTTCAATCCTTTCCTGGCTTATACGTTCCAAATCCCTGCCTTGCCATTTCCACAGCACCCCTCCTCTCCATTTTTTCCTTTGGTAAATATTAATCCCCCCCAATCTCCCTCTCGCTTCTCTGCTAGGAGGCTGGTATATTTTTCTAGCCATTTTCCCTTGTTGTGACATGGGGCGCACCACTGTCTTAAAACTAAAGTCTTGAAGTCTGGACTTGAATGATAGTCTGAGCGACTTTCCCTCCACTTGGGAAGCCACTCTCCCCCCACTTCGCTGCTGCACAAAGTCTAAATCTTTTTGCGTGTGGGGATACACCCCTCTGGTTGCAAATCTGCACAGTTTCTGCATTTGTGTGAATTAAGGATGTGTGACAGCGCTTGCTTGCAAATCGGGATTTAGACAGAGCGGTTCCCAAGCTCTAGATCACTCTGCCCAGGAAGACAAAGCTGGATCCGTCCCAGTTATCTTTCTGCTGGCAGGCAAGTTATTGTTTATTCACGCAGGCCTTAGGCAACAGTGTGACCCTGTTTGCCACAGAAGGAGCTTTTAGCTTGATAACTGGTTCCCTCCTCTGACTGCTGTAGTTTTCTTTTAGCTGTGTGTTTGCAAATTATGTTTTAAGTTTTAATGTTGGCATTCATTTTATAGATTTGTAGAAGGGAAGGGGAACCTTGGAGTGTGAACAAACCAAGGCACCACTGTTGCCAACAACAACAACAGCGAGTATACCCGACACAAAAGTTAAGAACAAGATTCAGAACCCGGGAGATTAAGCAGGAGCACTGATTAGTCCAGGAAGAAATTGCAGGAGTGTTTTGCCCTGAAAAAAGAGACACACATACATACCCTCTCTCTCTCTGTGTGTGTGTGTGTGTGTGTGTGTGTGTGTGTGTGTGTTAGTGCACCTGCTAGTGCATATAATATGGGTGGGGAGATGTGAGCGTATATAACATGTGCCTCTGTATGAATGTAGGGAGGAGGTGGTGACAGCTGGAAAAAAATGTGTGTACGTGAGTGAGCCTTTGAAAGATTGGGTTTTGTTTTCGTATGCAAAAGGAACAGGGCTTGTGGACGCTCTGTGGCCTTAAGCGTGGCAGTGCCCACCTGCTCCAAGCCAAGGTTCAGTGTCCTTGTGTATTTAGACCCTGCAAGTGAGGCAGAAGGACCCCTTGGTCCCGCCTCTCGAGATCTGTGGTCAGTCCCTCCCCTGGAATCCCAGGGAGAGCAGATCATGAGCCTCTAACAAACGGGAGGTCTCCATCCCTCCATAAGGCTCTCTCTTCCTTGGTACCTCTCCACCACTGACTTTGCCATGGGCCGGGGTGGGAGAGCCCATGGAAAGACCACGTGCCTCGAGACCTGGGTCAGACTCAGACGTCAAGAAAGATGGGGGCAATACAGGGCAGAATGAAGACTCTGGTGCTACTTTTGAGCCCCACTTTGCTTTGAGGAAGTACACACAGAATCTGACAAACCCATTTACAGTCCCAGTCACACTTATAAAGGAGTAAATTCTATTGCAGATTCAGTGGTACGTACAATATAATCTGAGACGTATCTCCTTGGAAGTAAGTCCAGTTGTGTTCAATGGGAATGATCTACTCCCAAGAGACAGGTGCATATATGGCTACAGCCTTACCTACTTAACACCATTGTGGTATAACCCTGTGATACAGATAGTATATACAAACACTGAATTATGATACAATTGTATACTTACTCTGAGGTTGACACCAACAGAGTTCAATGGGACATTCTCCTAGGTAAGTGGATATAGAATTGCAGCCTTTTAAAACTCTTTTAAACTCTTTTCTTTCTGACTTTTGATCAAAAGTTCTATCTACAATTAAAACCAAGCGAGACTGCCTTCTACGGTGCGTGTTGTTTCTGTAAAAGCCATTTCAAAAAACTGGAAGGAAAAGTCAACACAAGCTGAAGACAAGATAGAATTCAACTTGAAAGCTTGCCTATCTTGTGAATTTCTCGTTGACCCTTATAGGGATACTGCCCATGTGTGGGTTGTGAGATTGGTTTCATTCTTCTTAAAAGAATGTTTCCAAACTCTGCAGCAATCTTAAGAGGATGAATCCACCATTCAGCATCCTACCTATGGCACCTAGCCGCAATGACACACACTTCAGTCAGAGCCCCCTTGGGTGATCGTAGCCTGTTCTTTCTGGGGCTGCCTTCAGTCTCAGGATGAAAAATGGAAAGTACAGGTCGGATTGTTACAATGGGTCATTCAAGGCAAAACAAGTATGGAGGGGGAACGCATGGGAAGGAGAAGAACGTAAAGTTGGCCTCACTGTCTCCAGCTGCCACATCCATGTCCAACCTCTGGTGGAGAATGAATAAGAAGCAGGACAAGAGGAGGAAAAGGAGGAGGAGGTATTGGTGTTGGTGTATTTTCTCAGAAGAGGTACAGCTGCCAGAGAGGAGGTATGGTGTGACTATTATGAAAGGGAATTTGCACTTAAGAATTTCTCACTGCATTAGGAAAACTGACTAAACAAAGTACACTCAACATCTGCGCAGATGTAATGCTGCAGCGTGACTTAACTTGATGGACTTCATGTTTGTGCCCAAGGAAAGCAGATTCCTCAAGCTGGCTTCATATTTATTAAGAGCCACCATGATTATCTCCAAGGGTCCCCACACCAATATGGGGAACACCCCAGATTTACTGCCTTTAGTATCCCTCATTTCAAACTCGTCACTTGACGTACAAAAGCATGATTCCACGCACCCACCCCCAAATCCTATGGATGCAACAGAAGTGACATCTCCTTTGTTCCACCGGCAGAGCTACACAACAGGATGGTGGTCACAACATAATACCTTCTCAGCATTAATAAGATCAAAGTAAAAGCGATTCCTGTTATTAACCTTTTTAGCCTAGAAGAAAATCAACCCTGTTTTATTTCTTCTGTCCTTCTTTCCAGGAGTCAAGAAAGGCCGTCTTATCAGAACGGTCGACTCAATGCGATTTTGTTATTTGCCTTAAAACAGCAAAGAACCATCCATCCAAACTCGCATGAAAGAAAAACTTTATCACGTTGGGGATGAAAGGTGGGGCAGTTTCATTGGGGTAAGAGCAACAATAGCAGGCGAGTTTTGAAACGATGTGGATCCTGAACAGGGGAAATGATCTAACCACAGCAAAACAATTGTCCCCTTAAATTATTTACAAACATGTTAAGGGTGCCCGGATTTATAACTTAAAAAAAATGCTTCCCCTCATGCAGAATCGAAGTAAAAATTAAAGCATTAGAACTTGGCATGTGCCTGCATTTCTTATTCTAACGAGCAATTTAAGGCTTCCTAAAAATGTCACAGGAGATGACAGCTCTAAGTTTATATTATCCTGCTTGAGTAAAACATGAAATATCAGAGAAACTCAGCCCGCTTCCCCTTGTGCGCCGGCAAATTTGACGGCGGCGTCTGTGGAATGTTAAACCAAAGATTACCAGTCGTCTTACCGGGAGGTGTCAGGCTGGATTGGGGACGTGGCTGTAGTGACGAGCTCCTTTCTGCTGCTTGGCAGTCCAGGGGAGGGAGCAACAGCCTTCGGGGAGCTGGCAGGCGTCCCTGTGGAAAGAGAAGAGAGAAGCAAAAGAGGTGAGTATTACAGGGCTGCAAAAGTTTCGGACCGTCTTTCTTGCCTTGTCGCGCATTATTTTCCAACACGAAGCCCAAACCCTGTGCTACTCTTTGGGGAACTTTATATATGGCGAATCGGCAGCCTAAGGAGTCGTTACTGTTGACAGGTATGGAGCAGAATATATATTTTTCAGAGCCACCTGGAGACCTAATAGCATAATACACCACCCACAACCGATGGCATGGCTCTACGAAAGGTTTCTCCTTGTGACAGGTTACCATTCCCTCGTGACCTTCAGGCCAATCCTGGCAAACTTCAGCTCTGCGTTTCTAGTCCGTTCTCGGGGAAACCGGCAGAAATGTCTCCGTCCTATTTCAAATATTCAAGATCATTTGAAGCCAAGAGCACACCAAGAATGATCTACATCCTTTTTAAAAATTCCACTAGAAACTCATTTCTTTTGCAATACCCCAGGCTTCGCCTTGGCCGTACATTCAGCCCACTGGGAAAAGGGGGCCAAGAGCCAAAGCTGCTTCTTTCTGATTCATAACAAAACAAAAGGAACTGAGACATTCACAAAAGTCCAGATAATAAATGAGAGACAAAGTCTCAAGATGTAGAAAATAGAAACAAGCTCTTTATTCTGAGGATATCTTGAGGGTGAACGGCCCGGGCCTTCACTGCGACCCTTACTTGTGACATGTTCAAGAGAGTGAGTGGAAAGGGCCAAGTCCTCCGCCCCACACGATTTGGGAACTCACTCGCTTTTCAGAAGAGAGATCCTATGAAACGACGGAGATCCAAAATTTGTTTCCTGTGGCACAGCCTTAGCTTTTTCAAGACAACATCGCTGTAGCGAAGGGCATCCGTGGAACCGAGCGCATGTGCTGTGGCGAGGCTGGCACATCTTATCCATAACCCTCAAAAAGGTCATTAAAATTCAGGTGATGTCAGGGCTCGGTTATTTTGAGCTGTCTAAGGAAGAGGGAAACTCTCCTAGAGCTATGGTTCCTCTTCCTCACTGACCAGTAATGGCTTTCCCATGTTTCCGACGGGAATCTCACCTGGGGTTGGTGGGAATGGATCCGGGGGACCATCTGCCAGCAAAGGATTCACTTTTATTCAGCTCTTTTAACAAAATGGGGGTGGGCATTTCCCTAGTAACTGAAAACTGCAGAGAGGATGTTTACATTGTGATGAAAATTGAACAGGAACTTTCGAGGCCCTCCAGAAGATTGATCTTTGGATCAGAATCAGGCATTCTTGGTGCCGGCAGGAATGTGTTCTCCCTGGTTAGAAGAATGCTTCGGATGACAGCCTCATCTTGGCTGTGGCCCAAGACAAGGTACTGTAGATGTCAGGGAAGAAATACTTGACTATACAGACAGGAATCGGTATCTCTGAATGACAACTCCAAGATAACGTTTTTCTTTCTTGATTTTGAAAACTCAGTTTACAGTTGCTCATGGTTATTCCATGTTCCATGAATGGGGACAGCTGGAGAGCCCAGTGGTTTAAGTCTCTGGCTGTGGAGCCGGGAAGTTGGGAGTTTGATCCCCCACTGAGTCACCTTGACACGATGATCCACAGGGTGCCTTCCAGTTCTGCAGTTCTAAGATTATTATTATTAATAAGAATCTTTAAAGAATGGCGCTATTGCCATTAGAGAGAACTAAGGAAGCACTTAAACCTGTTTTCTGTCATATGTCCACGGACAGATTGATAGGATTTATTTACAATAATTACATAGAATGCTCAATTACAGGGGCTACATATTATGTTTAGAGGTAGTGCTTCTCTGAATACTACTAGTAATGGAGGAGAGGGGGAGATACCGGTGGGCAGGTGCTACTGTTCCCTCTCTTACCTTGCTCATGGGTTGAACGGAGGCCTCTGGCAGACCATCATGAAAACAGAAGGTTGGACTAGACGGGACTTTTGACTGACCCAGGAAGGTTTTTCTTGTGTTCTCTGGGTGGTTTGTGAAACATAAAGTCCAACAACAAAACTAGAGATGGGAAGGCTTGGAAAAAAATGGGAAAATTGGGGGGAAAAAGAGATTTTTCCCATTTCCCCCCAGAAGCCTGCTGCTGCTGCTGCTGCTGCTGCTGCTGCTGCTGCTGCTGCTGCTGCTGCTGCTGCTGCTGCTGCTGCTGCTGCTGCTGCTGCTGCTGCTGCTGCTGCTGCTGCTGCTGCTGCTGCTGCTGCTGCTGCTGCTGCTGTTGTTGTTGTTGTTGTTGTTGTTTCTGAAAAAACTGGTGGGAAATATGGAGTGCGGAACATGTTCTTTTTCAATGATAAATAATATGTCCGTGACATGGTATTCAAACTATATAACATGAAGATCTTAATAAAAGACTTCTGAGACTTTTATGTATTTAAGTTCTTTATGTATTTATTATAAAACACAGCGACTGGAACCCAGCTGCAGCCTGACGAAAGGAACTGGCAGAATAGAACTTAAAAGCAAACGATTCTGTTATCGGTCAAAAACGAAGCGAATGAAGAGTAAAAAACGTGGACGGAGAAGATCGCGAGAGGCCAGTGACTAAAGTGAGCGTCAAGATGGTGGAAGGCTCTGAGAGCCTCCTTGGACAGGCCTTGCCAGAAAAATCTCCTTATCTTTGGAACCAGGAAAGCATTCTCATGAACGTGCTGGAATTTGCAGAAGAAAACTGCATTTGCAAAGGTGGACCCGTGCCTTCCTTCACCAGGCGGCTCCACGTTCAAGAGAAAAAGCAAGCACCACCATTTGGTGGAAGTGGCACAGTCTAACGCAATGGGTCAATGCCTGGCATCGCGGCTTCTCCCCCAGAGTGCCTTGTAAAAGAGACTTTAAAAACCTGCAATGGGAGAGTACGTGTCGCCTGCCCTCGGGACTGTTTAAATGAGCTTGTAATGTCTCGCTGCACCCTCTACTGCCTGGGGAGGCCAAGTGCCACCTTCCAGATGTACTTGGCATGCAGCTCCCATCATCCTTAGCCAGCCAGGCCAAAGGGGAGGGGGGAAAGGAGTGACAGCCCAGCAGCATCTACAAGGCAAAACTGTGCCCATCCTTGCTCTAGAGCAGTAGTCCCCAACCTTGGCCCTCCAGATGTTCTTGGACTTCAACTCCCAGAAATCCTGTCCAGCACAGGTGGTGGTGAAGGTTTCTAGGAGTTGTAGTCCAAGAACATCTGGAAGCCCAAGGTTGCGGACCACTGCTCTAGAGTAACCTTGGGTAAGTCAGGTGTTCTTGGACTGCATTTCCTAGAAGCCTTCGCCCCCAGCTATGCTGGCTGAGGTTTCTGGGAGTTGTACTCCAAGAACACCTGGCACGAATCCTGTCCAGCACAGGTGGTGGTGAAGGTTTCTAGGAGTTGTAGTCCAAGAACATCTGGAAGCCCAAGGTTGCGGACCACTGCTCTAGAGTAACCTTGGGTAAGTCAGGTGTTCTTGGACTGCATTTCCCAGAAGCCTTCGCCACCAGCTATGCTGGCTGAGGTTTCTGGGAGTTGTAGTCCAAGAACACCTGGCACACCCAAGGTTGGCAACCACTGCTCTCGTAGGTTAAGGAACTGACAGAAGCTCCTCAGAAACACACCCAGACAGTGCAACAAGGGCTCCTTTTGCATCCGGTCGGGAGTCTTCTGCAGACTCCAAATGGCCGTGGGGGCGGCAATCCGTTAATTGCTGCAAATCGTTCCTCCGGCTGCCAGGCCAGCGTTTCTCAGTCTATAATTTTCCCCTTGAGATCACGACCGAGAAGAGAAGGGGGGGGGAAGAGGCATGGAGGGGAACACAAGAACTTGGAGGTCAGGCCAAACATCTGAAGGCATTTAATTTTCGGGGAAGCCCCTGAAGGGGGGAAGGGGGAAAGGAAAAAGAAATCCATCAGTGAAAATTGCCCCTGAAAACTTCACAGAATGGTAACAGCTTTCTCTCGCTTAAATTGATTGGTGTAGCAACGTTATGAGATGACTATTAGAATTCATTGCGCGCCACAGAAAGAGCTGAAATGTCAGCAGACTATACAGCAAAAGTAATGGGTCCTGAACTCCTGTTAGTGAAGGGGGAAAGGAAAAAGAAATCCATCAGTGAAAATTGCCCCTGAAAACTTCACAGAATGGTAACAGCTTTCTCTCGCTTAAATTGATTGGTGTAGCAACGTTATGAGATGACTATTAGAATTCATTGCGCGCCACAGAAAGAGCTGAAATGTCAGCAGACTATACAGCAAAAGTAATGGGTCCTGAACTCCTGTTAGTCAAAAATGATTTTGTTTCAAATTAGAAATTGATTTCTTTTGGACACCAAGCCCTTTGCCGGCTTCCAACTTTTGTAGCTGAGCCCTGGCAGAGATTAACCTCACCCTCCACGCGGGTCCCCCTCCGACGATACCCTTTTCCAAAAGTTTCTCCGCAGCTGACGTTTTTTTTTTTTAATGTGGCCACGGTCTTAACCAATAACACAAGTTGTTTGTTCCTCGGAGAGCGGCCCGGCGTTTTTTGCCTTTCTTTTCATTTTTCTGCTGACATGAATCGCGAACTCATTGACGAGTTTTGGAGAGAAGGGAAGGGGGGGAAAGGAAAGAAAGCACAGGGCAGGGGTGGAGGGGTGAGGCAGGGAGCCGAGCTGGAAGCGAACCAAGGAGGACGTTAGGCTCTCCAGAGAAGCACCAAACTTCTCCAGTTTCTTCCCAACCACCCCCTTTCCCCTTCCCCAAGAAAAGGAGTGCTTTTTGCTTCACTCTTTAAGAGGATACATTAGGCTAGGAGCAAGAAGGATGCGGCCCATCGAGATGTCCATGAAGTGTTAAATGTTGAGCTTCCAAGGCTGGGAAGCAGCACCGAAGACTTCAACACACGGACCCGGGTTTTCCTTTTGTTAGGAAATCAAAAACATGCTTTCCCTCATCCCGTTTATACCATTTTTCACTTGTTAAACAAATCAGTCAACACACTGTTTTATTAGATTTTTCCTGCCGTATCTCAAAGGATCAAGGAAGGCTAACCCTGTAATCATGACCTCATGTCCATTTTATCTCCATAGCCTTCATGTTAGGAGGACTGTGGCAAGAATTTGTGGGTAGATCATAGGTGGTGAATTCTTGGTTGGCCATCCAATGATTGCTCAAATTACGAAAAACAATGGGCTACATCTTGCATTAATTCAAACGGCAGCGGTCAAACAGCAGTACCACAGACAAAACTCTGCTCACAACCCAGTTTCAATCCCAGGTACCCTGTTTCCTCAAAAATAAGCCCTAACCTGAAAAGAAGCCCTAGCATGATTTTTCAGGATGCTCGTCATAATAAGCCCTACCCAAAAATAAGCCCCAGTTAAGTGAAACTCTGACCTCCACCCTAGTACAGCAACCAGAAGATGACATGACTGTAACTGAAGAAATGTAGATGGTTGTGCATGAAAAATAATAATAAAACATCCCCTGAAACTAAGCCCTAATGCTTATTTTTGGAGCAAAAATTAATACAAGACCCTGTCTTATTTTCAGGGAAACATGGTAGCTGGCTCAAGGTTCACTCAGCTTTCCATCCTTCTGAGGTTGGCAAACTAAGTTACCCAGCTTGCTGGAGGCATGTTGTGTACCCTGCAAAATTAACTGTTAACCTCCCTGAGAGTGCTTAAGGCCATATATAAGGAGCAAGCTCTGTTTTTTAAAAAAAATTCACTGGACTTCCTCTTTGAGCGCCAGGCCTTGCCCTTTCCTCCCTCCCTCCCCCAATAAACCCAACAACAACAACAACAACAACAACAACAACAACAACAACAACACCCTGCTAGGCAGAAGGAGGAGCCCACTCCATTTCCCCAGTTCATGTCACTCCACTGGCAGATGTTAAACCATGCAACAGAAGGACTCGCAAACTCTTCGGTGTGGCAAAATTATTACAACACACCCACATTGCACAAACGAAGGGCCAAACTACAGGTGAACAGAAATTGCCTCTGGTAAGCTACTGGTTGCATTTCAGGGGATCCCGGGAGGGGGGGAATGGTGGTCTCTGAGGTTGGGGGGGCACAGAGGGAGAGCCATGCAGCCTCCAGACACCTGGAGATGGCTACCACCCCGCACCCCCACTATAGCAGGGGTGGGCAATTAATTTCTATAGGGGGCCACATGAAAAATCTGAACTGTGTTCGGGGGCCGAACCAGCTTTACTTAAAAATAAAATGAAACCCATTGGGCAAGGCCCTGGGGTGAACGAACTGCAAGGCTGACATAGTTAACTCCCTAAACTTTTTCGGCTGGCGGACGGGGGCCGCCCTGGCGATGAAGAGGGTGCATGCCGTAGCGGGGGCGTTTCTTACCTCTTCCTAACTCACCTGTCTTCCGTTCCCTTGCGGCCTTCCTCTCCGACTGTCTTCTATCCTGCGCAGGCGACATGATGCGTCATCACGTCGCCTGCGCAAGGATCACTTCCGGCCTCTTTAGCCGCACGCTCCGCATCGGCTCAAGAGTAACAGTCAAAAACTGCGAGAGCCCAGCGTCGGATCTTGCGCGTTTTGCTTACTGCCGTGCTGGGTGACTGGAGCCAGAGCTACAGCTCACTCAGCAGCGATGGGCGGGCCAGACAGGAGAGGCTTTTCTGG